CTCTTTATAATAATAATAATAATAATAATAATAGTAATAATAATAATAATAATAATAATAATAATAATAATAATAATAATAATAATAATAATAATAATAATTGTTTAATTGTAAAAAAAAAAATGAAATCGTTTCTCACCTTTTCATTTTTGACCGTCATTTTTTTTTCTTTTTTTTTTTTTTTTTATTTATTACTAAAAATTTTAACCGAATAATTTACTTTAAAAACTAATTACTAAAAACTACAACATCGTAATAATAATAATAATAATAATATCATAATTGTAGTTATGATAAAATAATCCCTACGATTTATTTTTTTTTGGTAGTGATAAATAAAAAAAAAAAAATATAACCGCGTCTTAACCTGACATTCATCTATCCAAGACTGAACTGATTGTAGTCAATCTATTTAAAAAAAAAAAAAAAATATTTACTCAAACGAGTTCTCAGTGACGTGTTTAGGTATTTTTTTTTCCTTTACAAACGAAACTTCCATAATTAAGGTATTTTAAATAAAACGTTAAAAACGTTCCCGCGGAACGATGGTATATAAATTTTAAAGTAATTTTCCTCTCAAAGGTATACGAAAAAAAAATGATTTTTAGGGTAAAATTATTATTATTATATTTTTCTAGGTTCGTTTTAGGTTCGCGTTGGGTTTTTTTTTTTTTTTATTACCAATTTAAAAAAACACGTGATGATATTTTCCCGTAGGATAAACATTAGAAAAATTCAAACCTTTTCAACAGCGGTTTCTTCATCGAATTCATTTCGTGTTGGATTTTCATCATTGAATGTACCTACATCATCATCTAATTCATCTCTCACCGTACCTGAAACACGATAAAAATGTTTTTTTTTTTTTAAAAAAAATTTCAAAAGTTTCCCTCCAAAAAAATTTTGCAAAAAAAAAAAAAAAAAAAAAAAAACGTTAACCGGTTTTTATTCATATTTCAATTACATTTATATATATTTAATTCACGTAGGTAAATTTCTCTTTCTCTCTCTCTCCCCCTCTCTCTCCCTCTCTCACTCTCACTCTCTCTTTCTCTCTTTTAATAAAACCTTGACACACTTACGCGATACATTCGATGAAATTTTTTATTTATTTATTTATTTATTATTATTATTATTAACGATTCGAACAAAAAAAAAACTTTTACGATAATTTATAAACATTTATTTTTAACGGTTTTTTTTTTGGTACCCCCTCCTCCCTTCCGCGCCTTCTCCCTACCGCGGGTTTTCCTCGTTATCACAAATGATAAAAATTTAATTTCCGGTTGTTGTTGTTTGTTAAATTTAATCAAATAAATCCTTTTGCTTTACCCATCTCCCTCCTCCCCCCACAAAAAAAAGATTTTTCAATAATAATAATAATAATAATAATAATAATAATAATAATAATATTAATAATAATGATGATGAAAAAGTAAATAAATAATGATGATAAAGTTAATAACAACATTAACTCTTGTTTAAAAAAATTTTTTTTTTTTTAATGACACGTTAAATTCGTCACATAATTACATTAAAAAATTAAATTTATTACTCGATACTTCAATAACGACAACAACAACAACAAACAAACAAACAAACAACAAACAAACCTTTTGTCGTTAATTTAAAAAAAAAAAAAGAAAAATTATTTAATAATAGTAATAATTTTATTCGATTCGACATCCATTTTATTATACAATTTCCAGAAGTTTCCATCGGAAATTTTTATTTATTTATTAATGATAATGATAATGATAATAATAATGATGATAATATTTTCGTGGGGCCCTCCTGCATATTTTTTTTATTTTTTTTTATCTTTTTTTATTCCATGTAAACAAAATTCTCGATTATTTTTTTTAAGAGTCAGTTAAACTTAATTAATTAATTAATTAATTGATTGATTAATTTCAAACTGATATCTTATCAATTTTTTTTTTTTTGAATGAAAACCTTCGTGAATTATCAACGTACTATTTAAAAAAAAAAAAAAAAAAAAAAAAAGAAATTCGAATCATTTTTTTCGAAAAAATACGTTGGTAGGAAAAATTCTAAAAAAAAAAAATTGTTTTAGAATTTTAGAATAAACAAAATTCTATTTAATACCATAATTAATTAATTAATTAATCCCCTCCGTAATAAATTATTTATTTTTTCATTCAAATTATTAAATAGGAAAATTTTTTTTTTAATTAATAAAATTATTTTTTTTAGAATTCGATTTATGTAAAAAAAAAAAAAAAAAAAAGAAGAAAATTCATAACAATTACTTCCGGTTTCGAAATTGTTTGTTTTTTTTTTTTTTTTTAAAAAAATTTAACCGTGGTTTAATTACAATTTTTTCTTAATGGTAATCATGATGATAATGATAATGATGATAAGAACATTTTTTTAATACAATCGATCGATTTTTTAAAAATGTTATCAAAAAAAAAAAAAAAAATATGGCGCGCGGTAAAATTTTTTTTTTTAATCGATAACAAATTAATCGATAAATAATTGCGATGAGAAAATTGATTTTATAAAACCGGAAACGTTAATTAAATAAAATATATATGAAAATTCTTTCACGCACACGCACACGCACACGCATACAAACAATACTTTTTGATAAGATGATTTTTTAATGACCATGGACTGAACTAAAGAAAGAGAGAAAGAGAGAGAGAGTGAGAGAGAGGGAATAGAATATTTTAACATTGATAATAATAATAATAATAATAATAATAATAATAATAATAATAATAATAATAATAATAATACAGGGACTCGGGTCAAGTGTATTAAATGATT